CCCGCGGCCCGGGGGCCCGGGTTGTCCAGGGGAAGGGGCAGGGGACGCTGGGAGCCCTGCCCCCTGCCCCTGGCACCCCCTTAACCCCACTGCAGCCGCGGCGGCTCCGGCTCCTCTCCCCATGCCAGATGTGCCGCACAGAGCATAAGCACCGGCGACAGTTGTTCACGCCGCGGCGCGAAGGCATCAGATGTCGGCATTAAAACAAAGCTCTCCACTTAATTACTCAGGCTGCTAATTCAGTGCGCGGAGGCGGCACTGCATGAGAGCCCAGGGCTGCGTCGCAGCTGGGGCTGGAGAGCCCTTGAGCGCACCGTAATCCCCCACGCGCCACGCTGGAAGCCCGCCCGGCCGCCCACCTCGCATCCAGGGCTGCCCCGGCCCCAGCTCGAAGCAGGGAAGCTCCCAGGCCCTGCCCCAGGCTGCTCCTGCCCCGGGGGCCGGTCCCCGCAGGGGGCAGCCGCACGTGCCAGGCCCGCGGTCGGGGAAACAGACGCTGGCGTGCACCGCTCCTGTCCTCGGTGCCCCTCACACATCTCCCCCCCCACACTGCCTGGCTCGCGCCCAAGCCTCGGGCCTGTCACCGTGCACCATGCTAATGGTGCCCCTTGACCCCGCACAGGGCTCTGCGGTCACCGCCGCCGCCCAGCCCCGTAAATCACCGGCCGCGACGCGGGGCCCAGGCACATGCCCTGGCCGGCCCGTTGCCATGGAAACCAGCATCTCTCAGTGCCACCGGGCCAGCCGTCCTCAGGCACTTCAGGGGTCACCCGTGCTACCCATGGACTCCTGGTCTGGGGGGTGGGAGTCGAGTGCCCTCCACGTGCCCCGGGGCAAGGGTCTGGGCCTGCTGGGGTGGGGGCTGCCGCAGCAAGGTCCCAAAGGGTTAACATGCCCCACGGTGCCTGGAGCAGGGCCATTATCAGTGCACGACTCCATCCCCCCAATTACGGCAGGGAGATAGTGGCATTGGTGGCGCCGGGCCTCATTAGCATTCCCCAGCCCGCTTGCGCCGCGTTAAACGAAGATTGCCTGCCTGGGAAGGCGATAAAATGGAGTGCGCGGAGCAGGCGTGATGCTCCCGCCGCCCGGGAGACCAGACGGTTCCCTGCCGGGGCCTGGGGCCAGCACCGTTCATGCCGCACCTGGCGGACGTGGAGCCGCCTCTGCGGGGGGCACAGGGCACGACACCCCAGTGTCCCCACCGTCTTCCCCGCGCGCCCTGGAGCCAAGACGCTGGGGGTCTTGGCACGGACACGAGAAGGACGGGGTGCCTGCTGTGGGGGGCCAGTGCCAGGGCCAAGGGCCCCAGGCTGGCACCTATCCAGGTGCTGGCGTGGCCGTGCCGGCGCTGGAGGCATCTGCCCCGAGCCGTTGAACTCCAGGTAGCGCCGCGCAGGAGCCCCCGGGGCGCGATCGGACTGCGCTTGGCTGTGCTGAGCCATCGATCCAGCAGGCATTAGTCACTCCAGACTCTGACTCACGGCCAGCCTCGTGCGTGCCGAGGCCGCGGTTGGGAGACCCCGGGCACCCCCGGTGGCCCCCTGCCCGGTGCTGCCAGCCCCAGAGGGAGATGGGACGGGGAGAAACAGGCTGGGGGCATGCGCAGTGTGACCCTCCCGCCCCTCCCCGACATCTGATCTCACAGGCGTGTGCGAACACACGCACGCATACGTGTGGGCACGGGGCAGGGGCTGCGGGAACGTCCAACCATGTCCTCACGCAGCCCAGCCGCTTAGCATGCATGGGCGCAGCGCGTGGGCCGAATGGGCCGGCACGCACCGTCTCTGTGCCGCAGCCAACGCCAGCCCGGCCCAAGGACGCCATCTCCTCCAGCAGCCGCCCAAGGGCGCCCACAGCACCCCCTCCCCCCAACACAATTGCCCTGGCCCCGCAGAGCCCCCCACTGGGGTCTCACTGCCAGGGGTGCTGCCCCAGGCCCCGCAGTGCCCCGTAGCGGGGTCTCACGACCAGGGCTGCTGCCACGTGACATCGGAGAGCCCGCTGCTGGGGT